AGCTGGGTGGTGGTGGTACACACCTTTAATGCCAGCACTTGAGAGGCAGAAGGCAGGGGGATCTCTGAGTTCTATGCCAGCTTCGCATACATATGAAGAGTTCCAAGACAGTCAGGGTTACATAGCGAGACCCTGTCTCAAAACAATGCAATATAGCTAATTACCTACTTTTGCAGCTCAGTAAGTATATTTGAAGTATGATAACATCTGACGACAAACATGATACGGTAAGAAAAACAAGAAGAAAAGCAAATTATCTTTAGCCAATTATATGACTTCCCTGGATTTTGTTCAAGTTTCTATGTTGCAAACAGGGGGGCTATAATCTAGTATCCCAGATATATTCCCTAGAAATATGAAGAATCTTTACTTCCTTCTTGTTTTGAGACACTAACTCCCTGAGAAGACCAATCTGGCCTTGAATTTAAGACCCAGAAAGACAATTATCACATGTACTCACTCATAGGTGGCTTTTAAACATAAAGCAAAGAAATCAGCCTACAAACCACAATTCCAGAGAATTTAGACAACAATGCGGACACTAAGAGACTTACATAGATCTAATCTACATGGAAAGTAGTAGAAAAAGATCTCTTGAGTAAATTTGGAGCATGGGGGCCTTAGGGCAGGGTTGAAGGGGAGTGGAGAGGTAGGGAGGGGAGCAGAGAAACAAGCAGAACTGAATAAAATTAACAAAAAAAAGAAGAGACTGGCCTGACTCTGCTTGAATGCTATGACTAAAGGCTAACACCACTACATCCTGCCTATTTCCTTTCTTTAGTCTCTTCCTTCTTGGTCTAATTACAGGAGAAATACCATCATTAGGTAAAGCACAATACACTTTACATATGAAAGGCGCCCTACACTTTACAGATTTTTTTTTTGTATTGTTTGGACACAACTGCTTTCCATATTCAGTAGACTAATGTTGAAGTTTTCTCTAGTTGTTAGATTCTTCTTATAGAGCGGTTAAGTCTTATCTCGTTATAGTTCTGTGTTAGACTGGTTATCTGTAAGACCTTCATTTAAAACTAGCTATGGTGAGGTGGGTACGGTCATACAAGCCTGGAATCTCAACACTTTGGGAGGTGGAGGAAGAAAGATGGAAGAAAGATTATGACTTAAAGGTCAGCCTTGGCTACAAAGCCAATTTGAGGCCAGCCTTTCTCAAGGAACCAAAAATCGAATGAATGAATGAATGAATGAAGTAAGCTACAGAGCAATGTCCTTCACAATGAGAAAACTTCCTGAAATTAAAAACATTTTTGAAATATGGTCTGTCTCTGTAGTCTTGGAAATTGCTATGTAGACCAAGCTGGTCTTGAAATAACAGAGATCCATGTGTCTCTGCCTCCTGAGTGCTAAAAATCTTTGTGTTATTTTATTTTCTCACAGTGCCCAGTCCAGCCTCAAACTTGCTAAGAAACCAAAGATTATCTGGACTCAGATCCTCCTCCTGGAACTTCCTAAATCCTGGAGATTACAAAATTTGGATTATAGGAATGTATTACCACACCTGGTTTTGACGTCACAAATTTTAAAGATTTGATACTCATATTCTTTGCTTTCTTATTTAAATAAAAATTTTTATCATGGTCTAAATTCTAAATCTCTTAAACTTAATCTTAACTAATTTAGCTAAATCTTTTAAATTTAGGCCTCTTAAACTTGACCAGTATAAGTACTATGTGAAAACCGATTTAGATCTAAGATCCTCTCCAAATACAAGGTAGATTTTAAAATTTTAAAAATACTAGCAAATCGCTAATTACTAAGCAATTACTTTTTTCTTTTTTTTTAAAGAATTATTTATTACGTATACAGTGTTCTGCCTGCATGTTTACCTGCAGGCCAGAAGAGGAAGCCAGATCTCACTGCAGATGGTTGTGAACCCACCATGTGACTGCTGGGAATTGAACTCAGGTCTGGAAGAGCAGTCAGTGCTCTTAGCTGCTGAGTCATCTCTCCAGCCCCCAAGCAATTACTAAAAGAATCCACACTACCTGGCAGAAGGTTGAAAGACTATGCCTAGTTCAAACAGGAGATGCAAAAGCATTTGCATCACATTTGTAAACTCAATACTCAGGCTGAAGAAGGATCTAAGATCACTTCTCAGAAAAACGAAGCAACAACAATAACAAAGCAAAAACAAGGAGCAGAAGTGTGGGGTCTGTGGCTCGGTGGTAGAACAGTTACTAGTGCATGAAGCACTGCGTTCCACCCCAATTCCACAGAAAGAAAGAAAGATAAGAACCAATCGGGACACAGTGGCTGAGGGCTCCCCTGGGCTAGACATTAAGATCTTGTCTTTAAAAAAAACAGTAAGTAAATAAAGACCTAGGAGTGGTGAAGCCTGCCTTTAATCCCAGCACCAGAGGAGCAGAGGCTGGTGGGATCTCTGTGAGCTTCACAGCACACATCAGAGCTATACAGTGAGAAACTACCTCAAAATAAATAAATAAATAGACAGACAGATAGATAATAAAAAAAAAACACAAATAAGATAAATATGACTTTTTAACAGGAGGGTGCCAGCAAGAGTAGGGGATGGCGAATAGAAGAACAGTCAAAGAGGGGAACGAATTAGAACAAAGTATAACAATGCCATGTATGTAGAAAAATGACAAAATGAAACTCATTACTTGGTAATGTTAACTTAAACTGTTTAGGGTTTTTTTTTTTTTTTTTTTGGACAGGTTTTTTTTCCTCTGTAGCCCTTGCTGTACTGGAACTCATTCTATATGCCAGGCTGGCCACTAACAGAGCTTTACCTCCTCTGCCTCCTGGGCACTTGGATTAAAACCATACACCACCACTGATGGCTAAATTTTTAATTTAAGAACTTAAAGTAAGGCCCAACGATGGTGGTGCATGCCTTTAAACCCAGTACTTGGGACGCAGAGGCAGGCAGATGACTGGTCTATAGAGTGAGTTCCAGGAACGCCAGGGATACATGGAGAAAAACACTATCTTTAAAAAAAACGTAAAGCTTGGCATTGTACTACATAACACCATTAGTCCTAGCATTCGGAACAAAGAGGCAGGTACATATGTCTTTGAACACAAATAAGTTCATGAGGAAAAAAAGCCTTCCTCAAGTCAATAAATTATAAATAAAAAATACTGGTATATAAACTATCCCTGACAAACTGAAAAAAATATTATCAGCAACACAAATCGATTAAGACCTAAGCCAGTTGTCTATTTTTCCAGTAACATTCAGGCTATGAATGTTAGCAATGCACTCCTAAGTAACCAATTTCTCTTATGAAGTTTTACATTTCATCAATGATTTTGGCTAATTATCTTTTAAAATAATCTCTACTATCAATATATTTAACCCCAAGGGGTTAATATGTTCTGTTAACTTACTGTATTTGATAGTATAATAGTATTCCCTTTGAAAAACTGTTCATAAACAGGGATACATAGTGAGACCTAGTCTAATTTTTTTTTAAAAGCCAACAACAAAAAGTGTTCCAGTCTTTTTATTTGAAAATTATCCATCCAAATTTTAAGGCACAGTGTGTAAACACTATGAACTATAGAAAAATATATAATTTTTATGGAAGCAGAATGACATTCCAGCACCTTTGTTTTACAAGCACTTTGTAAATCTTAGTTCTAATCACAATATATTTAGACTGAGATCTACCATCTTGGTAGACTAGTAACTAGTAATTCTTTGAGGCGATTTGACTAAAGATGTCCCAAGAACAACTAGGGATGTGAATTTCTGTAAACTAGAACTAAAAGCGGGGATATTTTGTCTTAAAATAATAGAGCAAGGTGTAGTGAGTGGTTCATGCCTCTAATTCCAAGACTCAAGAGACAAGTTAGAACACTGCCTGGTTACACAGCAAATTCCAATCCAGTATGGGAAACAGCAAGACCGTGTCACAAAACAACAAGAAATAAATAGAAAGATGACTGATAGAAAATACATAACATCATTATAAACTTGGCAAGGAAATATAAACAGAACATACATTTGGTTCCTTCTGAAAGCTATCTTTAAACAGTTCCCTGTAAAATTTTGTGGAAACTCAATAAAGAGACATAGAAATAGAAAACCATATGGCTAAAAGCACCCATACTATATGTTCAAAAATATTTCAGAGGCAAGGAACCACTATAATCTCAACATTTGTGAAGTAAAAGCAGAAGTGATCAGGAACTCAAGATCATCCTCTGCTACAGTGAACTGTAGGTTAACCTGAACTACAGAAGATCCTGTCTCAAAAATAAACCAAGTTTCTGCAAAGAAGGAAATGAAATGCAAAAAATAGATCACCTTTTACAAAATGACATTTGCTTTAGGTAGAAAATCACTTTAAACATATAGCCCTGGGGTGCCATGAGATGGCTCACTGTGTAAAGGTACCTGCAGCAAAGCCTGCTGACCTGCATTTGACACAAGACCTAGATGGTAGAAATCCAAAAATTCCAAGTTGTTTTCTGACCTCCAAACTTGTGTAGTTGCATGTATGAATGCACACGCACGTGCACCCACATTCATACAAACAAACAAACAAACAAACAAATAAATAAATAAATAAATAATATTTTTTAGTTAGATGTTCCCATTAAGAAACTTTGTAGGGCTAGAAAGAAAACTTAGTGGCTAGGAGTGCTTGCTCTTCCAGAGCACCTGAGTTTAGTTCCCAGCTACTGGGTGGCTCACAACTGCCTGTAGCTCCACCTCAGCAGGATCCAACACCCGCTTCAGGCCTTCTCAGGCACCTTCAGGCCTATAGTATACATATACACATACACACACACATACATAAAAATCAATCTTCAAAAAAAATTAACTCAAATAATGTAAACAGTTTGTTTATACTTTAAACTCAATCGCGATGTCTACTTTTTGCTATCAAAAGAGTTCAAGAATGAATCAAGATCCAGGACAGCCAGAGTTGTTACAGAGAAGCCCAGTCTTTAAAGCAACAAGTAAAAAGAATCAAGAATATGTTCATAACTTGCATGATATCACTTACCCACATTTGGAGGTTTCACATAATTTACAGGTAGTTCTGGAGGTCTACCTCTGTGTAGAGCTGCAAAGGCAGACCCATTCCATAGTGTACTCTTACAGTCTATATGAAAAGACCAAAGTCAGTTAAGGAAGAAAGAAACAAACAAACAAAACAAACAAAAACATTTTTTCCACCACTCAGCACAAAACGACCTGATTTTACACCTTTAGAAATTCAATTGTAACCAGGTGGTGAGAGAGCCAGCAAGACCTCTGTGAGCTTGGTCCACAAAGTAAGTTTCAGGACAGCCAGGGTTGGTACACAGAGAAACCCTAGCTCAAAACACCAAAAAAAAAAAAAAAGGAAAGAAATCCACTTGTACATTTAGAAATTTATTAAAATACAGCAAGATCACACAAACTAAAAGAAAGTATTCTTTAAAGACATATGAATATTCATTTGAAACTGCATTGATCTCTGAATCTTCCTCTATAGCAGTGTTAAATATTTAAAAGAGTCCTTACCTTTGGCATCCCGTAACAGAGACTGCCGACCAACACCTAGTAATGTCTGTACCCCAGGGACACTCTGAGGGATCTCCTTATCTAACAAGGGACCAATCCTCTCACAAATTTTAAGGAGGTAGTCTGGAGGAATGTGTGCATTGGCTGCCACCTAGAAACCATGAAGAGAGCACAGGGAAAAACACTTAGTTCTAAGGTATCAACTCATTCCATAGTAGAGCAAAGTATTTTAAAATATGAAATCAAGAAAATGAAAATTAATAATCTAATATTTGAACTAATTTTAAGAAACAGGCACACACAACGGGGCTGGACAGATGGCTCAGCGGCTAACGGCACATACTACCTTGCAGACAGTTTAGTGCCCACATTGGATAGCTTACTGCCTATAATGCTAGGAAACCTAACACCGCTGCCCTACACACACACACACACACACACACACACACACTTAAAATAATTAAAAATAAATCTTTAAAAATGAAAGACACAAAATAAGCAAGGAATATTTAAATGATGCCATAGCACAATTTACAAAGCACAAGCCTCTATTCTACAGATTAAATCACTTTAACCTAACGCTGTTATAAAATGTGGTACAAAATAGCAAACACGATCATGTCAAGAAAAAACATAAAAAGTGATGTGTAAACTCTCTGACTTCATTTATTCAGTACTGAGAAGTAACTGGTTAAGAAAAGAATCTGGAATCCCAGCACTCGGGAGGCAGAGGCAGGCGGATCTCTGTGAGTTCGAGGCCAGCCTCGAACTACAAGAGCTAGTTCCAGGACAGGAACCAAAAAGCTACGGAGAAACCCTGTCTCAAAAAATCAAAAAGAAAGAAAGAAAGGAAGGAAGGAAGGAAGGAAGGAAGGAAGGAAGGAAGGAAGGAAGGAAGGAAGGAAGGAAAGAAAGAAAGAAAGAAAGAAAGAAAGAAAGAAAGAAAGAAAGAAAAGAAAAGAAAAGAAAAGAAAAGAAAAGAAAAGAAAAGAAAAGAAAAGAGAAGAAAAGAATCTGGGCCAGGCGATGGTGGCGCACACCTTTAATCCCAGCACTCAAATCTCTGAGAATTAGAGGCCAGCCTGGTCTACAGAGTGAGTTCCAGGACAGGCTCCAAAGCTACAGAGAAACCATGTCTCGAAAAACCAAAAAGAAAGGAAAGAAAGAAAGAAAGAAAGAAAGAAAGAAAGAAAGAAGAAAGAAAGAAAGAAAGAAAGAAAGAAAGAAAGAAAGAAAGAAAGAAAGAAAGAAAGAGAAAGAAAGAAAGGAAGGAAGGAAGGAAGGAAGGAAGGAAGGAAGGAAGGAAAGAAAGAAAGAAAGAAAGAAAGAAAGAAAGAAAGAAAGAAAGAAAGAAAGAAAGAAAGAAAGAAAGAAAGAAAGAAAGAAAGAAAGAAAGAAAGAGGGGGGGAGGGAGGGAGGGAGGGAGGGAGGGAGGGAGGAAGGAAGGAAGGAAGGAAGGAAGGAAGGAAGGGAAAAAAAGAAAAAGATTCTGAGGCAAAAGTCAGGCAGATCTCGTTTGGTGAGTTCAAGCCCAGCCTGGCAGTTCAAAGCCCCCTAAGGGGACTTAGTAAGATCTTATCTCAAAGAGAAAAACAGAAAGGACTACTAGTGCCTAGCAAAGTGGCACATGCTTAAAATTCCAGCACTTGGGGGTTGAACCTGTTACAAAAAATTACAAAACTTACAAAAAGTTTAAAGCTAACATGCACTTAAGTACTGTGTAGCAGGTAAATCTAACATGCACTAAGTACTGTGTTGCACGTCAGCCAGAGCAACATAGCAAGACTTTCTTAAAAGTACTAACAGGTATGTATCACCACACCCAGCATTTTGGGGCAATTGTTTTCGTAAGCCTTTGCCAAAATTAACTGTAATCTAGTAAAATAGTTAGAACCTAGGCAATGGTCATGATATTCAGAAAGAACAGCGACCATGTTGCTTCAGGTTTGTACTCAGAAAGTTCAGCTTCAGGTTTGGATCAAAAGTCAAGGAAATACTTTGCATTATTGTTCATATCTTCAGTTTGGTTTAACAACCAAATACTTATAAAGAACTCTACTTCATTAAAATATGCAAATAATATTAAAATCAAAGCACCTGGTGATTCAGTCTAAAAATATGATCTATAGAAACTGATATCCTAATGTCTCGTACATAACGACCGTTCACATTAGCTTATTTAATAAGTATGCCTCATGTACATATACAGTATCTGAAAGAAAAAAGCCTTATAGCACTATATATATATGTGTGTGTGTATATATACATATATATATATACATATATATATAAACCATGCAAATTTCCCAACACTCTTGGAGAAACTGAGCTCCTTATAGCAAGTAAATGCTATATGGGAGACTCTACATGGATGTCTTTCTTGGCAAATATTTTCTGGCCCTTGACTAACTTAACAATTATTTGCACTTGTTATAAAACCTTAAATAAGGCCGGGCGGCGGTGGTGCACGCCTTTAATCCCAGCACTCGAAAGGTAGAGGCAGGCGGATCTCTGTGAGTTCGAGGCCAGCCTGGTCTACAAGAGCTAGTTCCAGGACAGGCTCCAAAGCTACGGAAAAACCCTGTCTTGAAAAAAAAAACTTACATAACTACCTTAGAGGTAGAATATACCTAGTGATACATGATGCCCTCCCCCAAGCTCCTCAAAAAGATTTCACTGCCCTAAGAGAAATGACAGTCCCTGTGGAGAAAACAAACTAGAAAATAGAAATAAATCAAAACTCAAAGAGCCAGAGGTTAGTATAGAGACCTAAAGAAGCAAAAAGAGCCGGACAGTGGTATAAACACCTTTAATCCCAGCACTCAGGAAATAAGGGCAGGCAGATCTCTGAGTTCCAGGCCAGCCTAGTCTACAGAGTAAGTTCCCGGATGGGCCAGGGCGACACGGAGAAACCATGTCTGGAAAAACTCAAAGCAAACTAAAAGAACCCAGCAAAAATAAAGTATCTGGTTTTTCCCCTAGAGGTAAGAGGAACTGTGTCTCTTAAATGTTCCCTAATTAATATTAGGTTTACTTAAAAGTCAGGATTGAATCATAAACTCACATCTTAAATCTTTTGACAACTTTATAGAAATAAAAATGTCTCATTTTCGGATGATTATGTAAAAAAGTTACTGTGAAATGGGATAGGTGTGCAGAAACATACATAGTAACTGGTTCTTCTCTATAAGCAGAACTAATGTGCTGCACTCTTGCTCCCCCCCTTCTCTCTCTCTCTCTCTCTCTGTCCCCCCCCCCTCGGTTTTTTTTTTTTTTTCCAGACACAGTTTCTCTGAGTAACAGCCCCTGGCTGTCCGGAATTTGGTTTCCAGACCTGACCCACCTGCCTCTGCCTCCTAAATGCTGGGATTCCAGGTGAGTCACCAGGTCTGGCTCCCAAGAGCTCTGCAGCAGCACAGGTTACAAGGAGTTAAGACTCCCTGCAACTCTCCTTCGGAATGTTAATCAGTATTAATAGAATTTCTTTCTCTACTAGCTTCAAGATTTCCCCAGGAAAAAGAAACTTTAAACAACCCTGGGCCTGGGGCACACTTCTTAAATCCCAGCACTGCAGAGGCAGAGGCAGGCAGATCTTGGTGAGTTCCAGTCCACTCTGGTTTACACAGCAAGTTCCAGGACAACCAGAGCTAAGCTACAATGTAACACTTTCTAAAGACAACAAACAAAAGAGGACGGAAGGGGAGGAAAGAGTGCTAAAGGGGCTCTAAACCTGAATGAGATAAAAATCAAGAAAAGTACAGAGGCAACTTCTATATTCAAGAAGTTGCTCAGTGGTGAAGGTACAAGGAAGGGAATAAACTCAGTCTACGCTACCAGCTTAAGTAATCTCTGTGTATGAGTGTGTATGTGTATGTGTGTGTGTATATACACAAATACAGTATTTGCAAATGTACATGAAACAGTAAAGTGTCTTTAAATTGCTATTTGTTACCAAACAGTTTCCTAAGTAATCCATAAGCAATTGAAAAAATGCACTCAAATTTACTAGCAGTCATGTGAAAAACATGACAAAGATAATTTCAGGCTGGAAAGACGGCTCGGTGGGTAATGTGCTCCCCATACCATCAGGAGAACTTTAGTTGGGATCGTCAGTACCCATGTGCACGGCAGCATGGCTTTGTAATCCTAGCCTTCAGGAGATGGACACAAGAGAATCCCGGGGTTTCCTGACCAGCTACTGTAGCTGAATCCAAATTGTAGACTCTGTGAGAAGTACTGCCTCAAAATAAGGTGTATGGACCAAATATTAGGAAGACACTTTCTTTACATGAATGAAATTGTTAAAGGATCCATAAAAGATATTCTATTAAAAATAGTAAGGAATGCTGAGAACGGGAGAAATAGTCTTTTCCAGGGAAGAGCAGAGCAATTGGCTATACAATACCAAATGGTCAGCCCTGAAAATATACATACAGTTAACATACCGACTCAGAAGGTTATATTTAGGAATATATATGTATATACAGATACATATATTCGTGCAACTACAAATAATGAAAAAAAATCATGAATTTGAAAGAGGAAAAATAAAGGGTATACAGGAAAGTATGGAGGGAGAAAAGGGAAGGGAAAATAATGTAGTTATAAACCAAAAATAAAAGAAAAAAACTAAAAAAAAAAAATACGCTGGTGCTTACTAAAAAGTAAAAGAAAAACCCATAGAGCAACTGGAAGAAAGTCAACCTCTGGCCTCCACATATACAGAAAACAAATTCAGATGCTCACATACATATTCACACATATCTCCCCTAATTCTCTCTCTCACACACACAGGGAAACAGGGATGACTTCACAGCAAAATTTTGTAAGCAGAATTCATAAAATCAAATTCTTACCTCCCTCTCATCTACTCTCTTCACTTATTAATACTACCTCACATGAACTGAGATTCCACTTTTTCCAGAAATATCAAATAAATCACCAGAACAATTTTAATCACTAACGTGTGTTCCCTACAACCAAATCTAGTTTAAGTAAGTGCTAAAAACCTGTTTACGTGAGCACCAACAGGTACAATGACTCAGTAAGTCAATAGCAACCCCAGGTTCCAGAGACTGACAACTCTACCATATCATTCACTGTTAGGACAACACACTGCATTGGACTTGAGGAGCAAATGTTTTGGGTTTCACATGCTCCATTCTGTTCTTCGTAACTGTGACTGTGTGTCATAGAGCAGATTTTAAATCCCACATGTTTAAATTGCTCCCATGCTTACACAGTCCATAACTATGCTACCAGCACTCAAAAATAGTCTGCTCTTCTAGTAACCAATTTAAGCTATTGTTAGCAATTAGACAAAAGTTGGGCAAGGTAAGAGAGGAATATAGGTATGTCTGGAATGCTAATATATTGTTTTAAAGTAGTTGTTATGAATCAAATGACCATATGAAAACACTCTTAATAGAGCTAGGGCTGTGGCTCAGTCATAGTGCTTGCCCTGTATGCATGGTTCATTTGGTTTAATCACCAATACTACCAAAAGAGTTTTAGAGCCTGAATGTCTTATGCAAAGATGCAAATTCTTAGAATGACAATAATTATACTCTTTTTACAGACACTAATGAACATATAATCTTTTTTGAGCATATACCTTTGATACATTTATTTTAATATTATTGCCTCATGTATTTTGTATATTAAAGGTAATGTAACCTATGTCATTCTAATACAATTGCTAACTAGTGCTTTCAATTTCATGGATGAAAAATGTGAACAAGGGGGATACAAAAAAAGAACAAAGTTCATAATATAAAACTTTAAATGAAAAAAGCAAGGGTACATGGTTTATATAGTCAAATATAAAAATTCCTCTGCATATCAAAAAAAAATTTTTTTTTTTTTTTGGTTTTTCGAGACAGGGTTTCTCTGTAGCTTTGGAGCCTGTCCTGGAGCTAGCTCTTGTAGAGGATCAGGCTGGCCTCAAACTCACAGAGTGCTGGGATTAAAGGTGTGCGCCACCACAGCCTGGCTCAAAATTTTAAATATATATAAAAAAGGTCTCGAAATGTAGCTTATGCACAACACCCTTGATTCCATCGTGTGTGTGTGTGTGTGTGTGTGTGCGTGTGCGCGTGCACATGTTTATGAAAATGTAGCCAGGCACATGGTGGCACGTGCCTGCTGGGAAGACTGCAGAAGAAGGAACATAAGTTTGAAGCCACCACAGTATCTCAAATTCTACACCGAACTTCACAAATCCAAGGAAACTTTGTGTAACAATACCAAATAAATAAATACTGATTAGAAGAAATGCTGTAATCCCAGCATTTCTAAGGCTGAAGCAGGGGGTTGCTTCAAGCTTGAGGCAAGCCTGAACCACATAATGAGCTCTAGGTTAGCCTACACAGCAGCGTGTGACCCTGTCCCATCAAACAAGCTAACAAAACAGAAATATATGAACGAATGACATCAAGTCCATAGAAACTGATAAATGCCTTAACAATAATTTTAAAAAGTAACTTTTAGCCGGGCAGTGGTGGCGCACGCCTTTAATCCCAGCACTCGGGAGGCAGAGGCAGGCAGATCTATGTGAGTTCGTGGCCAGCCTGGTCCAGAAGAGCTAGTTACAGGACAGGAACCAAAAAGCTACAGAGAAACCCTGTCTCAAAAAATCAAAAAAAAAAAAAAAAAAAAAAAAAAAAAAAAAAAAAAACAAATAAAAAGTAACTTTTAAGGGTTAAGCAAGCCTAGTACTAATAAAGAAAATTCTATTTAAATCAACTCAGGCCTTCTGGAAAGTGGTCTTCAATGTATGATTAAAGCTACAAAGCTGATGAGCTCCTTTGACCTTATTCAGAAATCCACTTTAGAGAGCAAAGTCCAAGGGACTTGGGGAGAAGGTAGCAGGAAAAGACCACCTAATTATGCAAAAATATTAGTGAAAAAAAATCACTGTAACTTAGAAGATCAATTGGAAATTGAGGACAAATCATAGTATCTAAAATACAACTAAATTGTTTTTTCTTACCATAACAAGGCTGGCTATGCAAATAACACTAGTCATGCAAAAGCACTGCCAGAAAGACAAAGCAGAAAATGGACAGACTGCAACTGTATAAAAATTTGCTTTTACAGTTTAAGAAAGGACTAGTAAACTGGTATTAAAATTGGGTGGTAAGGAGAAATTTTTAATTACTTGAATTCCTATTGCATTCGTTTTGAAAATATAGTTTTAAGTTTCCTTTTGCCATTTGCTCAAAATATAATCTACATGCACACACATATGTAAACTGGAAAGGGAAAATGTAAAGAAAAGCACTATCCATAAGTCAAACTATTTTCAAATGTGTATCAGTAGTTACCTGATAAAACATATTTTAGTGAATACTTTGGTTTTACGTTCTGTGGTACAAGTTGAACTCATATCTAACAAGAGCAACAACATAAAACTTCTGGCCAAAAATTAAAAGAAATAACAGGTATTCAGAAATAATTTATAACCATCTGAAAAATTATAACCATTAACATGGTGACATTTACTCTTATTACAATTGTACCATTTGTTGATTTGTAAAACAGTCAGTAGATTCTGTAACAATTTACATGCTTCACTCTTGAAATACTGTACACAAAAATTATCAAAAGGAATACCTCAGGAATTTAAAGGTTTTCTTATTACAATATAATTTTAAATAAATTTTCTTTTTATTTATTCTACTACCCTTCCAACTTGTCTCTACTTTCTCTTATTTTTCCTCATTTGGATCTTATTTGGAGGAAAGAGAGCTGAATTTAGTGAACTTAGATTTCATCACTCTTTTTATTATCATACAATTCGACATCTGTGACCAACAGAAGAACCTCCTTCCCAAAATATAAAGGGTCACCTTTTTGTCTCGGTGCAGAGCAGAAGGTGCACTTACACTACGAATCATAGTTGCAGGAGAAACAGCAGTCAATCCGATCGCTTTGGTTCTTAACTAAAGTATATTCTATTTTTTAAAAATGCCCATTGTTGTCTCCTAATCCCCAAATCATGTTCACCTATTCCTAAAAGGTCATAATCCATAGTTTTGATTTAGTAAAAACGTATCTGTACAAACGCAATTTACTGATGAATTAACGAGCTATTTTCTAAGATCTGAAATATACAACAATGTTTTTATTCAGTAGTCCATTATCTAAAGACGGCAAATCTTGGAAATCACTCAGTGGTCCCTTAGTATCTTTATTTGTGTCGTTTTTCTCATTTACAAGTCAGTTCCCCTTCTGAGATCCTTCTCCCTTTCCCTCTAAAAAGAAAAAAAGAAAGAAAGAAAGAAAGAAAAAGGAGAAAAAAGAGAGAGCGAGAGAGCGAGAGGAAAAAAAAAAAAAACACCCAAGCCTGGCCTCAGTTCCCGTATTTCAAGCCAGGACCAACCAGAAACCAGTTTTCTTCCACTAATCCGGAACTCCGGGCTGTTACCAACGCTGTCATTGGCCAGCGTCAGTCCTTGGTACGTGCCCCAAGATAACCCCCTGGTTTCTGTCCCTTCTCCCCCTACAATGGGCCTTCTCCGATGTTTGTAACAGAGTCATAATCCACAACACAGCACCTCAGATAACCAGCTCACATTCTTCAAAGTTTTTGGGTGAAAATAAGCAAGGCTGGAGGAGGGCAAGGTACCCTTCCCGACACGCTGGGAGGGGGAAGGGGCAGTCGATTGAACACCAAACAGCAGGCTTGGGGAGCCTAGCGGGCTGAAGGGTCAGGGGCGGGTTGGGGGCACAAGGTGGGGAGGGAGTGGAGAAAGAGTTGGGCTAAGTTGAAATGAAAAGTTTACTAACCAGATCCTCGAAGCTTCTTCGGTGCTCTTTCCCCTCCCAGTCTAAGCGGCGCGGAATCAGCTGGGGGCCAGAGGAAAAGAAAAGGGGGGGGGGGTGAAGGAAAAGCCTCTGCTCCCCATCAGCAGCACCCAGCCTGGAGCCCAGTCCTAGACCCTCTAGTGTTTTTCTCCAGACCGGACTGCTCTTGCCGCCGTGCCGGGGGTGGGGGGTGGGGGGGACAGGCCAAAGGGAAGGAAATCCTGAAAAAAGGTCTCCCGCAGGAATAAAAGGCAACGAGTTAAGACCCCAACCTTGTCCGCCCCTTCTGAGAAAGAACCCGGCTCACCCCAAGTGACAACAGCCCGGAGTGTCCTGCTCAAAGGCTCCCTCTGGGCCCCTGCCCTCGGCCCCTGACCTACCTTACCCTTCCTCCAGTTTCTCCTCAGCCCTCCCCAGCCCTTCCCAAAGGGGGTCCATACCTGATGCTCCTCGAGCTCTTGCACTAGCACCTGGGGAAGAGGGAAACACGGATATGAGAAGCAGATTGGGGCGCCAACCCATTCCTCCCTCCCCACTTCCAACACAGCCGCTGACTGTAGGACTAATCGAGGCCGGCCTTTCCCTCACCCTCCACTGCACTGCTCACCCGGTGCCTCAATTTCCCCATTGGGACCATTCCCCAACACTCCCAGATATCCTTCTCCGTCTCACCTGAGCGGATTTGTTACAGGGTCCGGACTGCAAGAACCTAGCGATCAGGTAATACAGCTCTAAGGAAGGGGGGGGGGGGGAGATGTTGGGAGAGAGGCAAGGAAGAGAGATACAAGCTTTTAAAAAAAATTCTGACAGCCGTCGCGCAAAGCCCCCATCCCTTTAGCCCCTGGCTCAGCTACCCACCGGCTTCGATCTGGGTAGGTGCCGCCGCCATCCTTTTCCCGAGGGGGTTTGGGGGCTTTGCTCCGGACGGCTGGCGGGTGCGGGTGGGGGCGCTGCCTCTATTGTGGTGAAGCCCCCATGCCTGGGAGTCCCGCCGCTTCCGCCGCACTCCTCGTCCCAGTTTCGGTCTCTCTCGGATTCATCACATCACGTTTCGACCCATAGATATTCTAGCCCAAGAGCTGAGGAGGCGGAGGAGGAAGGAGAGCAAGAGAGAAGGAGAGGGAGGAGCCGAAGTCGCTGAGGGGTGGGCGGGGGCAAAAGGGGTGGAGTCATGGAAAGGGGGGGAAAAGGGGAGGGAGCCGCTTGCAGCGCTCACGGCTCGCCGCCAGAGGCACTGAGGCTGCTGCCTTGCTCCTGCCGCCTGAGCCGGCCTGGGGTTGCCTAGTTACTGCTAGGGGAAGGAGGAAGAGGTGCTAAACTCAGGCAGACACTCTGGCAACCTCTCTAAAACTCTGTGGTGGCGTTGGCGTCCCGGAGCTCCAGAGTTGCTTACCCTTCCTGTAAGGGCGATTGGACCCTTTCCGGTGAGGGAACCTTTCATGAGAAACTTGTAAGGGACTAACTTGGCCTAACTCTGATAGGTCACCTAAAGGGTTTGGTTTGTTTGTTCTGTCTCTACCCCAAGGAAATGGTGCTAGCCACTTGTGGTCTTGTGTCCAAACGAGGAACAGTGCACCAGATGAAAGTGCTGTACTTACCCGATGAGTAGATAAATAATATTCTTATAGAAAACTACTTAAAATATCCCCCTTGATGCTATAAATATTGCTTGAGAAATTTACACTTCAACCAGGAAGCCGGTTCCAAATTCTGAAGTTTTCAATAATGTATTTTCCCAAATTCTGTAGGTAAAGTTTGAATTGTTTTGAAACACTATCAAAACATTTTTAAAGTTCTTAAATATCCATTGAAGTTTGGATAGAAACCATACTTTGTTTTGTTTTGCCCTTTAAACGCTATTTTCTGACATGCTCTCACTATATATCCAAGCCTCGCCAGGAATTAGTTGCAATCCTCCTGCCCTGCTTCCCGGGGTGCTCACCTTGCAAGCATAAATCAGCGTGCTAGTTTACAAATTGTTTCCTAGAAATTTGAGACTACAATCGTTTTAATATATAGCCTCAACTCTTCACACAGCACTGACTTTTGGTGGTGGGTAGTTAAGTCTTCAGCGATCAAAGTTACTTGTGTAATGATTGTCACAGATGGAGTAAACTGTTTTACTTAACCACTTTCTTTTAACATTCTGTTCTCATTCTCTACTTTGAAATCCTAATTCATTGAAGCTAAACCTGCTGGCAAAACAGACTCTGTTACATTGTTTACATTGAAGTACTCAAATTTGAAGGTTCACCTTCTAAATTGATAGTGGGAGTTTGGTTTTCAGATTTAGGGAGCTCAGCCAATAACACAGTGGGCCTAGAATTCCATTAAGTTAGCATAAACAAATTATCCTCACTAACTCTTTTTGTCTGTTTCTTTTGTTCAGAAATTAATAACAATACAAGGTAATTATGAAATGCTATGGTTATCTTTGGCATAATCATTATTTTTAAAAAGTAGATAAAAGAAATATAAAAACCTCTGAAAATCTTTGTAAGGGGTTACTGAAATAGTAATAATTTTATGGTTCAATAGAATATAATATAATTAACAGTTAACCTTTACCAAGTCATTATCACATGTTACCTGCTGTAGCTCATTTAATTATTACAGTGACCTATGAGACAGGTTATTTTTCTTCATTATACAGAGAAGAAAAATGACTATTATATGATTTTAGAGCATTCACATTTATCAATTGTATTCCTTATGTGTAAAATATAAGAATAAATAATATTCACCATACTTACTTACAGAATTTCTGGCCTGGCGGTGGTGGCGCACGCCGTTAATCCCAATACTCGGGAGGCAGAGGCAGACGGATCTTTGTGAGTTCGAGGCCAGCCTGGTCTACAAGAGCTAGTTCCAGGACTGGCTTCAAAGCTACAGAGAAACCCTGTCTCAAAAAACCAAAAGAAAAAGAAAGAAGAAAGAAGAAGAAGTCATATGAGAATATATTTGTGTTATGTTTCAAAAGGTATGTGGCATAACTATCCTTGTGTTCATTTAACTATTGATTTCAATGCAATTAAGAGATAAAACCCCACAAATTTACAGAGGTTTAAGACAAGAAATTACTTTGTATAAAAACTGTTCTTAAATTTTTATTTGTTTAGCTGGGGAGTGGTGGTGCATGCTTTTAATTTTAGCACTCAGGAGGCAGAGTAAGGTGGATCTCTGAGTTCGAGGACAGCCTGGTCAACAGAGCGGGTTCTAGGACAAACAGGACTGTTACACAGAAGAGAACCCCTGTCTCAAAAAAAAAATTGTGTATATGAGGGGGGAAATGTCACCTGCCCTCAAGGCAAATAATTATTTTTAACAGGAATTTGAAGTGATAATGGATTAAGAGTAAAGAAAATAAAGATTAGCCTTGTGTTTCAGATATAAACACTTCAGGAACTCCAAGAAGCAAAATTTCTTAAATTGCTTCTAATGTTCTCTATTGACAAAGTAAACTAACAAAAGGAAAGATATTTAAAGGCCTGAATCCATTTCCACAGAGCAGTCAGTACGGGTGAATTTTGGAGATGATAATCAAGAAACTGATGAACTAGCACAAATTTTCTGGACTAAGTAGGTAAGAAGGAAGATTTGAAATGTGTATATTCCCACCAAAAGTCTTCATTGTTCTGAACTAATGCTAATTCATCAGACACTTTTAAGTATTTTATATCACAATATCACAGAGCCACCAGTCTTAACTCTCTGTCTCTCTCTCTCTCTCTCTTTCTCTCTCTCTCTCTCTCTCTCTCTCTCTCTCTCTCTCTCTCTCTCTCTCTGTGTGTGTGTGTAGGTCAGAAAGGAGAATATTGGAGTTAGTTTTCTCCCTCCATCACGAGGGTCCTAGACTGAATGCAGATTGTCACGCGTGACAGCAAGTGCATTTACCCACTGACCCATGCTGCTATCTTTCTTTCAATTTTTTCAAAGTTTTATTAGGAGAGGAGAAAAAATTTTATCTGTTACAGTAAAAATGAATTTATGTAGAAAACTATGAAATGTTGCCAGGCATTGTGGTATGTTTTTATAATCCTGGCACTTGAGAATCTGAAGCAGGAGGATCAAGAGTTCAGCACCATCTTTGGCTGGCTATCCAGTGATTGTGAGACCAACCTGCCTCAAAAATAAAAAAGAAAGAAAAAAGGAAGAAAGAAAAGAAAAGTGAGACAGTCAGCAAATGGCTCTGTGGGTGAAGGTGCTTGCCACGAAGCCTGAGAAACTGAATTCAGTCCCTAGGACCCATATAGTGCAGGAGAAAACAGGCTCACTCATGTTTTTCTCTGACCTCCACACTTTTGCCCTTGTTAGTATTCAGGCCTGAATAGTAACAGCCCTGGCATGCACCCCTGCCCCCATCCACAAATACACTAAATAAATGTAAAAAAATGTAATAACAATGTTTACTTGGTTGCTGCACTAGTTTCCTGGGGCTGCCATAACAACGTCTAATCCAGAGGGCTTAAGAAGGCAGAGGGTTGTTCTCTTTACATGAGAGCCAGAAATGAAAAACCAGCCTGTGGCAGAGTGCATGCTCCCTCTGAATGCTCTGCTAGAGAATTCCTTTTACCTTTCCTAGCATCTGATGGCTCCTTAGCATTCTCTGATGTGTTGACAGCATAATTCAAATGTCTTCCTCCATCTTCACATAACTTTTATCTATTTGTGGCCCAGCGACAAATTTTACCGTAGTGTGTGTGTGTGTGTGTGTGTGTCTAGTGATCCACCCAGAGCCTCCCAAATTCTGGTCATGCACTCTACCACTTAACGTGTTTTGTTATAAGGACACAAGTCACTGAATTTCAGGCCCATCATAAATCTAGAATGATCTCATGTTAGTGCTATAATTATACATGCAAAGACCCTATTTTCAAGTAAGGTAATATTCACTGGTAGTTAGGTCAGAACATGAACATACTTTTGAGGGGACACAACTGACTAAAGTATGCTTTTGTCTTTGGAACCTGTCCTGGAACGAGGTCTTGTAGTCCAGGCTGGCCTCAAACTCAAAGAGATCTGCCTGCCTCTACCTTCCGAGTGCTGGGATTAAAGGCATGTGCCACCACCGCCCGGCTTTTTTTTTTTTTAAGACAGGGTTTCTCTCTGTGTAACCCTAGCTGTCCTGGAACTCACTCTGTATACCAAGCTGTCCTCCAAATCAGAGATCCACCTGCCTCCACCTCTGGAGTACTGGGATTAAAGGTGTGCACAACTGCCGCCCACAGACATCACAGCCACTACCACCCAGCTATGATCTTTATTTACTTTTTAAAAATATTTATTTATTTATTGTGTATGCAATATTCTGTCTGTGTGTATGCCTGCTGGCCAAAAGAGGGCACCAGACCTCATTACAGATGGTTGTGAGCCATCATGTGGTTGTTGGGAATTGAACTTGGGACCTTTGGAAGAGCAGGCAATGCTCTTAACCGCTGAGCCATCTCTCCAGCCCCATGATCTTTATTTTTAAATAACTCTTATTCACCGTTATTTTATGCTTGTGTGGTTGTGTGTACATGATGTATGTACATGGGCCTGTCTGCATGTGACTGTCAGAGGACTTTGTGGAGTTGATTCTCTCCTTCCACTTTTTTTAAAAAGTATTTTTGAAACAATTTATTTATTTTTATTCCATGCATATGAATGTTTTTGCCTGTATATATGCACGGGCATCTCACGAGTACAGTGTCTATAGAGGCCAGAAGAGGGCGTCACATCCCCTGGAACTGGAGTTACAGCTTGCGAGCCACCATGTAGATGCTGGGAAATGAACCAAGACCTTCTGGAAGATCAGTCAGTACTCTTAAACACTGAGCCATCTCTCCACCCCATCTCCTTCCACTTTTATGTGGGTTTCAGGAATTGAACCTATTGTCCTCCTTAAAATCATATTGCAGGTCATGAAGAGCCCGAGCTGCCTGAGTTGGATCCTCACATCCACAGAGTAAAATAGAATTGACTCCTGAAAGTTGGCCTCTGACTTCACATGTGCCTTGGTACGTGCTTGTAGGAATACACATACACAGAAAATA